CTATTGATTTTTGAGTGTTGACCTTGTATCCAGCTAGTGTGCTGGATAAGTCTAGAAGTCTTTTGGCAGTTTTTTGGGTCTTCTATGTAGAGTATCATATCATCAACAAATAGTGACAGTTTAACTTCTTCCTTTCCTATCCTTATTCTTTTTGTTTCTTTCTTTTGTCTAATTGCTGTGGCTAATGTTTCTAGAATTATATTGAACAGGATTGGTGATAGTGGACATTCTTGTCTTTTTCCTGATTTTAGTGTGAAGGTTTTCAGTTTTTGACCATTTAGAATGGTATTGGCTCTTGGTTTTTCATAGATAGCCTTTATCAGGTTGAGACAAAGACCATCTATTTCACTTTTCTGTAGGGTTTTTATCATGAATGTGTGTTGAATTTTGTTGAATGCTTTTTCTGCATCTATTGAGATGATCATATTTTTTTCCTTGACTCTTTTGATATAGTGTATTACATTTATTGATTTATGTATTTTGAACTATCCTTGCATCCCTGGGATAAATCCATTTTGATCAGGGTGTATCTTCTTGATGACTCTCTGTATTCTGTTTGCCAGTATCTTCTTAAGGATTTTTGTATCTATGTTCATTTAGGGAGACTGGCTTGTAGTTCTCTTTTTTGATTGGGTCTTTCCCTGGTTTTGGAATCAAAGTAATACTTGCTTCCAGGAATGAATTTGGGAGCATTGCTTCCCTTTCAATTTCATTGAAGAGTTTAAAGACTAATGGCGATACTTCTTTTCTAAATGTCTTATAGAATTTAGCAGTGAAGCCACCAGGACCTGGGCTTTTCTTTGTTGGTGATGTTTTAATTACATTTTCAATTTCACTGAAAGTAATTGGGGTGGTTAGACTTTTTATATCTTCCTTGTTCAACTTTGGAAGTTCGTATGTGTCTAGGAATCTGTCCATTTCTTCTGTATTTTCCATTTTATTAGAATACAGGTTTTCGAAGTAGGTATTGATGATTCTCAGGATTTCTGGTGGGTCTGTTGTGACTTCACCTTTTTCATTCCTAATTGCATGAATTTGAGCCTTTCCTGTTTTTGATAAGTTTGGCTAAGGGTTTATAGATTCTTTTTTTATTTTTTCAAAAAACCAACTCTTCAAGCCGGGCATGGTGGTGCACGCCTGTAATCCCAGCACTCGGGAGGCTGAGGCAGGAGGATTGCTGTGAGTTCAAGACCAGCCTGGGCTACACAGTGAGTTCCAGGTCAGTCTCAACTACATAGTGAGACCCTGTCTCAACTACCCTTCCCAAAACAAAACAAAACAAAAACCCAACTCTTCAGTTAATTGATTTTTTGTATAGTTCTCTTAGTCTCCCTTGAATTAATTTTTGCTCTGATCTTTATAATTTCCTCCCTTGTACGAGCTTTCGGTTTGTCTTGCTCTTTTTCTAGAAGCTTAAGGTTAAGCATTAGGTTGTTTATTTGAGCTTGCTCTATTTTCCTAGTATGGGCATTTTCTGCTATGAATTTCCCTCATAGAATTGCTTTCATTGTGTCCCATAGATTCCTGTATGTTGTGCTTTCATTATCATTTAATTGTTTCCTCTGTGACTGAATGGTTGTTCAGCAGGGTGTTATTTAATTTCCATGCGTTTGTGAAGTTCTTGAGGTTTCTTAGGCTATTGATCTCCAGTTTAATTGCACTGTGGTCTGATAATATACAGGGGACAACTTCAATTCCTTTGCATCTACTTAAGCATGTTCTGTGAGCTAGCATGTGTTCTATTTTGGAGAATGACCCGTGTGCAGCCAAAAAGAATGTATATTCTGATTTTGTAGTGTGGAACACACTATAGACATCTACTGAGTCCATTTGTTCTGAGACTTGGTTCAGTCCTGTTTTTTTGTGTTTTTTTTTTTAGGTACTGGGAATTGAACTTGGGTCCTTGCACTTGCAAGGCAGGCCACCGAACCACTGAGCTAAATCCCCGGCCCATAGTCCTGTTATTTTGTTGTTGATTTTTTTGTCTAGATGATCTATTTGTGTCAGTGGAGTATTGAGGTCCCAACTACAATTGTAAAATGTATGGCTCTTTGTGATTGGTGTCCTTTACCTATTATAACAGTTTTAAGGTCCATTCTTCTTATAGCTTTTATCAGAACTTCATTTCTTTATATTGCCAAAAGTACTCCATTATATGCATATACCTAATTTTGTTTATCCATTTGGCAGTTAGTGGATATTTGAATTGTCAACACATTTGAGCATGCTGAACAATGCTGCTGTGCAAGTTTTATACAAGTTTTTATGTGGGTATGTGTTTTCTCATCTCTTGGGAATATACCTTGAAGCAGAATTGCTGGTTTATATGGTAACTCTGTTTACCTGTTGGAAGAAGTGTCACACTGTTTTGTACAGCAGCCAGCCATATCTGAGTGATCCAGTTTTTTCACATTTTCACCCAACATTTGTTGTTGTATTTCTTTTATCATAGCCATCCTATAAACTAGTATCTCCTTAGGGTTTTCCTAAGTCTTCTTTGGAGAAGATATACTACTCAGATCCTTTGCTACCCATTTTTTAATTGGTTACTTGTCTGTATTACAGAGTTGTAAGATTTTATGTGTCCTAAATCTCATATAGGTTCGCAGTATTCAGCCGGCTATAAGTGTGGCTGTCTTTGTAAACTCTCAGTTCTGTTTTATTGTTTTATGTATCTGTCCTTATTCGGGTACACTCTTTACTAATGTAGTAAAGACTTACCGTGATTATGATGAATTTTGCTATATTTGCTTTGCTTAAGTATAGTACTACTTACTTCAGTAACTTAACTGTAATAAAGGACTAAAGGTACCTAGTTTTAAAACTGAAACATGAGTCCTCCAACTTTGTTCTTGTTTTTCAAGATTTTTGTCTATTCTGGGCCTGCTGAATTTCCATATAAACTTTATATCTAGCTGACCTGTCTCTGCAACGAAACTGGCAGGGGTTTTCATGGGAATAGTGTTGAAAATCTGTAGCTTAAGTTGAAAAATGTTGTCATTTTGACAGCAGAGACTTCCAATTCATGAACATGGATGGCTTTCAATTTAAGTCTTTCTTTGTACAGTGTTTTATAGTTTTAGGTGTACAGGTCTTGCACATTTTTTATTGAATTATAAGTATTTTATTCCTTTTGATGCTATTGTAAGTAGAATTGCTTTCATAATTTCATTTTCAATTGTTCATTGCTACAGTATAGACATCCAGTTTTTTTTGAACATTGAGCTTTTATCCTGAAGTTTTGCATTTATTAGTTCTAAATACGTTCTTTATTAAATTCTTTAGTTTTTTACATACAATGCTATATATTACTTTCATTCAGCTTATATACCTTTTATTTCATTTTCTTGTCTAATTATCATACCTAGAATATCTAGACATCATTGTCCCCTTTGATTTTTTTCCTTCTGTCCTACAGTTGTAGATGCTTTTATTTTGCTTAGTTGGTGTTGATAATTTAACTGTAAATCAGTTTTTCATGCTTTGTGTAAATGTTTCTTTAAAAAAAATGAAAACAGTAAATAGCATTGTAAATATTGGTCATTGTTCAGTGCTCATGCTGAGCTATATCACCAACCCTTTTCTTGTCATCTTTGAGACTGGGTCTCACTAAATCACTAAATTGCTCAAGCTGGGTTTAGATTTGTGAACCTCCTACCTCAGACTCCCAGAGCGAGAACTGGTATTACAGATGTATACCACCATACCTAGCTAGATTTATCCTTTTGAAAATAGTTATTTTTGTGGGTGTGATAATCCCAGCTACTGTGGGAAGTTGAGGTAGAAGGATCACAAGTTCTACACCAGCCCGGACTATAAAGTGAGACCCTGTCTCAAAATTAAAAATGAAAAGAACCGAGGATGTGGCTTAGTGTTTCCTGGGTTCGATTCCCAGTAACAGGGGAAAAAAATTACTTTTGTAGGAAAATCTCTATAGGAAAAGAAATAAACATACTTGCCATCTTGAACCAGTAATAAAAGAATCATGTATGGATTCTTGATAATCTTATGTTAGAAAATTCAGTTTTGGTACTGAGCTGCAACAGTACCCTAAAACAGTTTTATTTATTGTTTGTCTGCAGTAGTGACCTCAGTGTTGGGGCTGTACTCACATCCAGGAGCAGAGTGCGTTAGTAAAGAGATGCACATACAGTGATAATGTAGTGCCATAAATATGGTAATGGAGATGTGTTCAAAGGCTGTGGGAGTATAGAGGAGAGAGTGACTATTTTCATTTGAGGGGAGGATGAAGACTTCACAAAAATGAAAGTATATGAAGCAGATCTTAGAAGTTAGAATCAGATGTTCATCAGGTTAGGGCAGAAGGCACAGCATGTGCATGTGGATGAAAGGGTGAGAGTGTACTAGAGTTGTCTGCTTTAGGACAAGTGTCAGGAGATGATAAACTATAGCCAGATTATGACGGGCCTCATGCAGTGTGCCCTGAAAATCTTATTTGAGATACAAATCTCCAGCCAAGTCCAAGAAAATTGGCTTCAAGTCATTTACTTAGGTGATAAGTTAGCTTATCTAATAGACACATTTCCCGTATACCTCCATACTTTTCTTGTTTATTCAATATATTTGTAATATAAGAGCCTGACACTTGTGCCTATTGAATTGAGACCGTTAACATTTTATAATTTCAGAAATTTTCTCAAAGAGAGGCTTTCAAGAAGTATTGAAATGAGGGCTGGGGTTTAGCTCATTGGTTCCGGTTCCTGCCTCGCAAGCGCAAGGACCAGAGTTCGATCCCTGGTACCAAAAAAAAAAGAAAAAAAGAAAAGAAGTATTGAAATGGTCTAAGAGGATGATATTGTCTTGGTAAACGGTAATTTTTTTTTTTTTCCAGTACCAGGGATTGAACTCAGGACCTTGTGCTTGCGAGACAGGCATGGCACCACTGAGCTAAATCCCCAGCCCTGATAATTATTATTGTAGATTACCTGTTCATTCAGCAAGCATTTGTGATTTTCCGAAACTTTTTCTTTTTTTTTAAGTGGACAGAAGACTGCAGAAAATCAACTTACCCTCCTTCTGGACCAACGTAAGTAAACATTAGATGATTAAAACTCACTTTGATCTTTGTGTCAAAGTAATGTTCTCATAGAAATAATGACAGTAAATAAAACTTGTCATGTCTCCTATCCTGAGACCGAGTTGGGTTTACTTAGGTTTGTGTCTTAAACATTTGATTAAGTAAGATCTTGGACAAATATGAAAACAATCTATAATTAAGATGTCTATTTCTGGCCTGTCAAAGTCATAGGATAGAAAAGCATTTGCATTCTTCACTAACGTTTTTGTCTACATTTGTCTTACCTATGACAAATGCAAGGCCTGTATTCCAGCTGAGCTATGATTCTCTGTGGTGCCTGGGTATAAGCCATCAATCAGAATTCCATCAGAAAGCATTAGACCTCATATTTGTGACATTTAAGGAATAAACATTTGTCTGATAAAGCTATCAAAGACAAACAGTATTGGAAAACCTAAGAGAAAGGGAAATACGTTTTAGTGTGCCCAACATTTTTAGTCTAAATTTTTGTCTTTCCAAATCCTAACAGTGAAATGGGATAATGGGAAAAGACAAAGTTCACAGGTCCAGAGGGTACCGAATGTAGAAAGGAAGGAGAAGTTTAGGGAATGGGCATCTTTTTTTTTTTGTTTTCCAAGTTCTTCCCCATTGCTGGAAATAGACTGCTAAAGGAAACAGGGAGGCAAGAGTAAAACTTCAACCAGCAATATCAAGATGACACCTTCACTTTTCTGTAACAATCCAAATTATATATCATACTGTTCTTTTCTAAATTATGTTTTCTGATTAACCTCTGTCCCAGTATCCTTGAGACACTGGGATACTGGCGGTTCAGGAATGATAGTCACACCACCCTTGTATCCATCTGAATTACACTGAGTATTTATTTTCTGCTGCTCACTGGGTGTTTGGCCTCTGATCTCTTGATTGTACATGGGTGTGCCATTTGGACTCATTTCCAAGTCCCCTGGGGAATCATGTGGGTTCAGGCAATGTTACTGGTGTGATAAGGTGGATATAGATAATGCTAAGTCCTATAAAGGACTTAGTGTGGCCAGAGATTTAACTTAGTGACACTGCACCTGCCTGGCAAGCACCAGGTCCTGAGTTCAATCCCTGTTACACAAAAAACAAAAACAAAAAGGGCTAAGTGATGCTGATTGTTGTTAGTGAAGTAGGAAAATATTCTATAGTAATTAGTACTAATTGAGTAACAATTTCTGATGGTTGAACAAAACTAAGAACTTGAATTATTTTGCTTTACTCACCTGTCTTACACAGACATTTAGAGTTAACCATTTTCGATGTTATTATCTTTTGTTTTGTTTTGTTTTGTCACCAGGGATTAAACTCAGGACTTTGTGCTTGTGAGGCAGGCATGGTGCCACTGAGCTAAATCCCCAGTGACGTGCTCTCAGAAGTTCTTGTCTGTCTCTACTGGCACTATGCTGGCCTTCATTGCCTTATTGATTACCTCTCTTGGCTGGTCACATGGTCCAATTCATTTAACTTTCAGTGAATACCTTCCACATATCAGGGCTTTTTTCTGCTCCCCCTTATGTATACTTTACATGTACCTGTGAATTGATTGCTGTCCAAACTGTATAAACCTTCCCTGAATGGAAACTGCATTGCTCTCTGTCTGTGTATATGTAACTACATGTACACATACCTATAACCCAAACTTATATACATTTATACATATACATAATGTACATGTATGTTTCTCTCCTTGCCTTGGAATTTTTGCCAGATGGTTCCTACACCAAAATCCTTGGCTCCGCTCTAATCCTTTTCTTCTCTGAACTATAAATGGATCTTGAGCTCTGGGAGAGAAGTACGGCGTGCACGTGCATTTGAGTGACAGTCCTCGTGTCCCTGTAGGTCATCGTTTTCAGCCAAGTGTGTAGATTTTTGTGGCATGCACGGGCATCTGTGAGGAGGAAGGAGACTCCTGTTCGCCTGGCCTGACCAGTCACATCAGTGTAGAGATCCGGGAACCATGGTCTCGTCACCCTCTGTCCCACAGCATCCACCGAGCATTTCTTTGCTGCTGCTCACTGGGTGCTTGGCCTCTGCTCTTCTGTTTGTACCTGTGTGTGTTGTGTCACCTGGGGAGCCAGGCAGCTTCGAGCATATGATTGATGTGATTACCTGGACACGGCAAAGGCTAAGTCTTAAAAATGATTAAGTGATAATGACTGTTTGCAGTAAGTAGGAAAGCATATTATGGTGACTACTATTGATTGTATTTGATGTAATCCTCACTGCCCTCCAAGATAGATACTCTTTCTGTAGGAAATCAAAGTGTAGGTATTAAATACTGAGATATTTAAAAAATATTTAATGAGAACCAAAATGTAGGATTATGTTATACTTTAGTTATTAAAATAATTTTGTTAATCAGATTAGCTGGTTTTTAAAACATTCTGATTAGTGGAGGTTGTATGATAAAAGTTCCTGAAGTCTCTCTATGCCCACAAAAGTATAACCTTCTGTTATAGGAAGTTCACTTCTTCTCCATTTCCTTTCTGAAATCCTTGAGCCTACCCAAAACTCCAGATCAAAAAAGAATCTAGAATTTATGGCACATATAGGAGCATGAATTGGTCTTTTGGGGTGTTGTGAGGAAAGGAGCAGTTGATTCATGTGTAGAATACATATCTTACAATAGTGCAACCAACTTTCACAACTCCAATATAGCCACTGGACACAGAAATCTAAATGCATGCTTGTGAACATGGGTAGGTTAGTAGTGTCTTCCCATGATAAGGGTAACAGGTTACTGAACTGTGGGACAAAGTTTTGCATGTGAAATCATGGTCATTCAGAACTGGAATTAATGTTTTGTGATGAAAACCTAATTTCTATATTTCATTTTTTGTTTTGGTACCTGGGAATGAACTCTGGACCTTAAGCTTGCGAGGCAGGTGGTGGATCCACTAAGCTAAATCCCTGGCCCTTTATGAGTTAGTTATTATAATATTTTGTGATTTTTTTAAAGGAAATATTAGTTCCCAAGGAACTAGGGAACTTGAAAATGGTTTGAGAACAAAATTCATTCACTGTGGTTTTGTTTAGGCGTGTGTTTGTAAAATTGAGTATGCTTTTCTATCTAAATCGCAATGTGAAAGGCTGCTGGTTAATAGTTTCATAAAATTTTTTAATGAAAAAAGCTAAGCAGTGTTACTTAGAGAACCAAATATTTATGACAGAAGATATAGAGAAGCACAAAAAATGACTTTTACGAAATAATCCACTCCCCTCTGTAGACATCCCTGCTAAACATTTCAAGAGCAGCACACACCAGACTGCACTGTACTCTTCTGGAGTGCAGCAGTAGTGGATCAAATGATGTCTATTTTTAGGCATAGTTTAAGCTGATAAGTCACAGAGTGACACACCCTTAATAGCTATTTCAGCTTGGTTAAAAAAAGGCCAGAAAATGATGTTCTTATGGTAACAGAGAGATTTATAGAGTTCATCTATTTAGAAATGTAGCCCATCTCCATTTATAATGGAGTGGACATTGATATATCTTCATAGAAATTGCTGTAAATTAGAGTAGGAAGTTGGAGACTGGATATGATAGAATAGTGCTTGGACTTGGACTTAATACAGAGGAATGAGAAGAGACGTCTATCCTAGGAAAGATTAGTTTCAATAAGAGAATCATAATCATGGAGGTCCTTGAAGCCAGTCACAAAAAGTTAATGTTTCTTGCTACTCTGAGGCTTAAGAGGAGACCTTACTGAAACCATCACAGTGATTTAGCAATAGTGTTAGACTGCCTGAGAGCACTCTCAGGCTCCAAAACCAACTGGAGAAGTGCGTAGGCTTAAGAGTAAATCTTTGCAGATATTTAGAAAAGAGAAGGAAAAAGGGCAGGTATTTTCTGCTAATGATATTTAGGCTCTTGAGCCACAGTTGATTCTTTCACATATCACCAAGTCATATTAATCTTATAGAATATATAATTCTATTCTAAGATTTCTAAGACTGCTTAGAATTGTATGTGCAACAGAGGGCAGAAGCACTAGATGGGAATTGGGCATTCTTTGCAAATTGTGTTTGTATAACAACCTGAATACTGTTATTAAACATGTGTGTCTAGAATAGCCTTATATAGATGTAGGTAGAATATCCTTATATAGATGTAGATCTAGCCCCCTCAGAAAACTACTTTCAGCATTTCAAGGTTGTATACCTCTCATTACAGGTATAGAGGACCAGTTCCATGGTACACCATAAATCTTGATTTACCACCCTACAAAAGATGGCATGAATTAATGGCTGACAAGGGACCAATGGTCGGTATGCTACAATTCTTCTCTTTCTGACTTTACTGAATGTAACTGCATTTTTAAAAAAACACTTCATGAAATTACCATTAAATAGTTTAAAAGTGTGCTTTTGATACTTTTCTGACATGTACAGTAAATAGACGAAAAGATTTTTTGTAACTTCATGTTCTTTGACAGACTTCACCTGTTTATTTCCCTTCATATCATCTCCCTTTATTTGCATAATTAAGCAAATTCCATTAAAGATAAAATTGTTAATAATAACACTCTCTTTGATTTAGCTGTATATGGGTAGATCAAAAGGTCTATATTTGTTTTTATTATACGGTATGAATCTTAAATGTTGTTTGATAGTACTTTACATCATTTAAGTATTTTATTAATTTTTTCAGCTAAAGATTATAGTGAATTCCTTAAAGAATATGGTAAATGCATTTGTGCCAAGTGGAAAAATTACGCAGATGGTGGATCAGAAGTTGGTAAGAAATATTTCCTATGATGAATTTTAAGCATAGACACATGCTCATTCATGTACACACACACACATACACATACATGTAAAATATTGTGCTTGGATATAATAAATGATAAATGTTACAATTAACACAGAGTTCAGAAATAGGATTATTTAAAGGTGTAATTATTAAACACCCTCTGGTCAGGAACTTGAGACATATTTGCATTTATTCTAGATCACTGTCAAAACTCAGACTTAAATTCTGGGATTAGTAATATTGGAGTAACAGATCAAAAAGCATGGCAAATTTTGTCAGTTTAATTGCTCTTTGATGTTCTTTGAAAGTATGCATTATTTTACAGAATAGTGGACAATATACTTTTTTTTCCTGGAAATGTGGAATTTCTTTTTAGTTGTTAAGTTCACTGTTGAAAACTTTTTTTTTTGCTGGGTGTATAGCTCAGTGGTAGAGTGCCATATTTAGCATGCATGAGACCCTTGGTTTGATCCCCAGCATGAAGGCAGGCAGGCAGGCAGGCAGAAGAAAAGATTAAAAAAAAACCTTGTTTTGTTTTTCCTAAGTACTTTGCCCAAGAGTCTCAGGACAACTTGATTTCTCTAAATTACAACCAAATCACACACTCAGGCCAACCTTGTATTCTGTGGAATACCTCAGTAGCTGTGACTCTTGAAACCCAAATGAATTATTTCTTGTAGTTGTACAGTCTCCAAACCATCTCATTTTCTTCCTGGTAATGTAGGAAGACTTCATTTCTCAGCCCTCTTTTACTTTAGATGGAGCCAGTTGAACACCTAGAAAATCTGGCCCCTAGAACCTCCAAAGAGATCTTATCACCGTCTTTCAGGCTTTATTGTAGGATACAGGAGTTTAGGGAAAGACTGCAAGATCCTAAAGCATGATATCTGGGGTTAAATAATTATTTGTTTTGGGGGTGGTCCTGCGTACTGTAAGGTGTTTAGCAGAATCCCTGTTCTCTACCCACTGGATTCTGGTAATACTGTCTGGGTCATGGCAACCAACGATGTCACAAGACATTACCAGATCTCTCTAGGTCAAGAATCACTGCCACAGGCTAGATGCTCTGGTTTCTTCTTCCCTGTGACATTCATATCTGCCAATCACCAAACCTTTGATCTCATGTTTAGGATCTCAGTTTTTCATTAAGGCTCTCCCTTACATACATACTTACCAGACTTCTCCAAAATAAAAATTGACAGAAGAAAAGAGGAATAGATTCCCATATATTTATTACATGTGTCCTAACTCCCCTTCTGTTCTGGTTGTCAGTAGAGAGGGGATCACTGCAGTGTTCTCATGTCAGGGGTCTTAGGCCACATCAGTCACAAACCTGTGAAACTGCAATTTTTTTATGAGGGAGAATAATAATCCATATTATCATGATGGTAATCAGGATTAGATAGCAAACTCTGTAAAATATTATGCTTGGATATAATAAGTGTTTGATAAATGTTACACTTAAGTCATGTTTGTTAAATTACTTGGAACATTTCACTTATTCCATGCTTCTAATTCATACAGAGAAAATTGTTTTGTTAGATCTCATTACCCAGTTGATGAAAAACAAAAACTTGTGAACTTTAAGCACACTATCTCAGCAAAAGGCTGTGAATTTAAATTGCCATCCCAAGTTTATCAATTACATGACAGTTTATCAATTACATGATTGTGACTAATCAGAATAGTGCATGCAGGCTTGCTGCATTTGACTAGAGGGTGACTGAAGTACAACTCCTTGTTAGCTGGGTGTGGTGGTGCACACCTGTAATCCCAGCACTTGGGAGGCCAAAGCAGGAGGATCTCTGAAAGTTGAAGGCTAGCCTGGGCTACATAGTGAGTTCGGGACCAGCCTGAACTACACAGCAAGACCCTGTCTCAAAAAAACAAACAAACAAACATTTTTTAAAAAAAAAAGTGCTTGTTTAACATTCTTGGACTGTGGGTCATGTGAGATCCTGTAGGTGGAATTATTCCAGATACCACTCTGGAGAGTATGAGAAAAACCAAGCAGGATAAAGCAGTTGAAGAAGCATACTTCTTGTGTGTAGGTGCCCAATGCTATCACATAGAACCTTTCAGAAATACATGACTATAAAAATGCTTTAAAAGTAATTTATCATCTATTGTGTTACGAATATCTGATACAAACTATGTCAGAGTATCATACCTAAAAGCATGCTTTGAGGTTAAATGATTGTGAATATATTTGTTTTCAGCCTGGTCTACTTGGTCAGTTTTCTGGTCCTTATGAAGAAGAAATGAAAGGAATTGCAGATGTTACTGAGATACCTTTAGGTAAAGTTAACCTTGCAATGTTTTGAACATTGAGTAAAACATTTTAACATATTGAGTATGATGCACATGAAGTGTACAGATCTTAAATATACAGCTTAGTAAAGTTTTGATATTTATAACAAGGTGGCTACTATTTTGCTGTTTTGTTTAAAAGCATACTGGAAAATTTGCAATACATATGTGAAGCAAGTCTTTAATCCCTTTGTCATGTAAAGAATCCTTGTAAGTCATTACCAAATATAATTATTTTTAGAGAAAAATTGACTTAACAGAGGATTCATAATAAGTAAAGTTTCATCAGAGTAGACCTTAAGTAGAAACAAACATTGGATTGGTATGGAAAACATGTTAATCTTAACATGTTAACATTAAATGTGAGAGACAATGTGTGCTTCTGTACCTTTGGATTAAATACTAAATTATATAATTTTGGAAAAATTCAAAAAATAAAAGCTATTCTACAATGGATTTTCTTGGAAGCTCTGAATTTTATCACTAGTTATTGGCTCTCATTTCTCATCTTTGAAATATTAGTCTAACTCTAAAAATCTGGGCAAAATCCATTTTCAGCATGCAGAGATGAGCTAGGTGCATTAAGTTACAGTGTGTGAGCTCCCCAGAGATCTCCACTGAAAGATGCTGATGAGAACTTAGGACATTATGTTATAATACAGTTCCAGCTTGTTAAATACTATAGCTGTCTTTTTTTGAGTTTATTGGTACATTTTAGTTATACAGTACAATTACATTCAGTATTGGGATCTTGTACCTTACCTTTACACGACAGGTCTTGGTTCTCATTTTTTCCCCTTGTCCCTGCCCTCTCTTCACCCCCTCCTCACCTCCCCATCTACAAACACTTTATTTCCATTTTTTCATTTTCTCATATTTTTTTCTTTTCCCTTATTACCTTTCCCCTACCCTTCCCATTTTCCCTACACCTTTAGCCCTTCCTACTTCACATGGTCAATTATCTCATTAGGATCTTATGTACTATTACAGTTTTTCACACCAGAGAAACTATTCAGTATTTACACATGTGTGACTTATTTATTTCACTTAGGAGTATATCCTCAATATGTATCCATTTTCCTATGAATGAATCTAATTTCTTATTCTTTATGGCTGAGTAGTATTCCATTTTATAGAAAAAACACATCTTCTTTATCCAGTCTCCAACTGATGGGCAAATGGGCTGTTTCCAAGTTTTTATAGTTGTCTTTTTAGAGACTTGTTTTGTTCTCTGTTTAGAGGGCTCAGGGAGGTGAGGGACACTGTCATGGGCCACGTTTTCTGGCACACACATATTGTCTTGAGGCACTGTTATGTACCAAAACACACCTGCAGTGAAGATTTATTTTCTTAAAATTTGGGGAGGGGTGTGTAGCCCTTGGTATACAGTATATCCTAAGTGTGGCACATCTGAGTTCAATACAATACAAAGCACCACTGAAAACAAAAATATTTCTTTTGTACTGTCATGGTTCTGTATTAAAATTTTTTCTTGTATGTTTCTTATAGGAGAGATTATTTCATTCAACATTTTTTATGAATTGTTCACTATGTGTACCTCAATAATAACTGAAGACGAGAAAGGTAAATGTTTGTTAAGGGGAGGTGGACAGTGCAGAGTAGAGTACCATGACAAAGATCTTTTCTTAAAAATAGCATTAGAATTTTTAAAATCCAGGCCTGCTGTGTAAGCTCTGTGTATGTTGCATACAGTTTATATATGTTAAATTTTTCTAAGTGCTTTGAAAATTAGCCTTACTTTATTTTTATTTACTTATGTTTATTCTTATTATTACTTTTGGTGCTAGGGATTGAATCAAGCGTCTTCTGTGCCTTTATTCTTTATTTAAGACAGGGTCTTACTAAGTTGCTACATTGTCCAGCCTGGGATGGAAGTTGGAATCTTCCTACCTCAGCCTCTCAGAGTAAAACTAGTCTTATCTTAAGACTACTATAATGCCCACTAAAGTTTCATTCAGGCATGCAAAAAAGGAAAAATGGGAAAATGTTTGAAGATTTAAAATATTCCCACTTTCCTTATACACATCTGTGTGATGGGATAGAATTGTTCACAGGAGGTGCTTCATTACCTTCATACATATAATGAGTTGTTCTAGAGGCCCAGGAGAGACATTTTACCATCATTTCCCAGACAGGGGACCCTATGTATAAAAGATATGAGATATCTGTGTCTTGGTAGAACTGTGTCATAGTTGACCGAAGAATGATCATCTTTTCCCCATATTCCGATCTTACCTAGAAGCCTATATATAGAGTACTTTCAGATTTTGTGGTGGGTATTTAGCCAATGTGAGAGTAATACAAATTTGATGGGTTTTTTTTGGTACGGGGATCAAACTTGGGACTTTACATTTGCGAGGCAGGCAGTGGCACCATTGAGCCAAATCCTTGGCCCTACAAGTTTGATCTTATTAAGGATTATGCTGGCAGGCTGCTTCTTAATCCTTATCTTTTATTGTGAAATGTAGTTGTGATTATAAGTTAAAATAATGCATGCATCTGTGATTCTGAACCAGATGTACTATCTTACCTTCTACTACATGTCTATCTCTTCTGCTTACTTTCTAATAGGTCATCTACTACATGTTAGAAACATGGATTTTGGAATATTCCTTGGGTAAGCAAGGAACATAGTATGTATCATTCCTTAAGAAATTTAGACTGTATTACCTTGATTAAAAGTCCCAAGTCATGCCCAAAATATGATGGTTGATGAAGATACGTGGATTCCTCAGTATCAAGACAGTATATTTACTTAATTATCTGGGAGGTCATACCCGAGACAGTGCACCTCTTGAGCAGAAATGAGCATTTCATTTGTTGCTTAGAAGGAAGAGGAACATTGTTTGTATCCATCATCTTGACCTTTCTGAAAAAGCAAGGGTTTTATAATTGGACCTAAATGTAAATGTGAAGCTTGTTAATTATATAACCTGTATGATATTAGGAGTTACTCTATTTCAAATCTGAGCCTCAGTTTCATTATTAGGTGAAGGGGATAAAACCACCCTTATTAAAAAGGACTTAGGCTTGATCATCAGTGATTAGGTAGATAAAGCACCTAGTGTAATGCCTGGTTCATTTTTTTTGGTACCTGGGATTGAACTTGGGTCCTTGCATTTGCAAGGCAGGAAGCGGCACCACTGAGCTAAATCCCCGGCCCCAGTGCCTGGCTCTTATATTTACCATCTTATTTTCATCACTGTTTTTAAATATCACAAAAACTTGTCTTTTGTAGGTGGAACATAAATAATAATACCTGGGTTGTAACTGAGGAACTAAAACCTTTAACAGTGAATTTGGACTTCCAAAGAAACAGTAAAACTGTCTTCAAGGCTACAAGCTTTGCTGGCTATGTGGGCATGTTAACAGGATTCAAACCAGTAAGGAACCTATTGTTACATGATTTTACAGGTAGAGTTGCGTCCTGGTTTTACTATCTGTGAAGGGTGGAATCTAAGAAAAAGAGGACTGGAAAGGAAAATGAAACCCTGCTTCTATCCCCTTTTACTTCTTGTCATTTTCATTGGTATGAGATCACATGGTAGAGGAGAATAAAAAGGAAATGATTTCTGAGACTTTTTGTGAGACTGATATCTGTGGCCTCAGGACTAGAAGCCAAACCTGAGATCTGGCCTGGGTCTGCTGCTCACTCAGACTAATCAGGCATGAATTTTCAGCTCTTCCATTTCCTGTCCAAAGAGTGTGGCTAATAATCTCTTGCCTAACTTTATCTCACATACTAAATATGAAAATGTTTTGAATTGAAAAAAGTCTTGTTAATATAAAGTGATTGCCAGGCATTGTGGTGCATTCCTGTAGTCCCAACATTCAGGAGGCTGAGGCATGAGGATTGCTGCGAGTCTAAGGCCAGCCCAAACTGCATAGCAAGACCTGGTGAAAACAAAACAAACCATACATACATACATATATACATACATACATACACATATGGATAATGTCATGATTTTTACTTATGTTCTCTATACAGGCCTTTATATACCACTATTATATAGAGATGGGGCCATCAAAAAATAGTTGAATTTCTAACCTCAGTGATTTTTTTTTTTTAAGGGAAGATTTAGTCTTACACTAAATGAACGTTTCAGCATGAGTGGTGGTTTTCTGGGTAAGTAGTGTTCGGAAGTATAATGGGAATTTCTCAGCCATTTTAAGAGGATTGAACTGTACTTTCTGAGTAGCTGAACTTCTTCCGGATCCACCTGTGCTATGTGTGTTTAATCTCTTCCAGGTCTCATAGAATGGATTTTGGGAAAGAAAGATGCCTCATGGATAGGGTTTATCACTAGATCGGTTCTGGAAAATGCTACAAGGTGAAGTGATTGCTTTATTATCATATATTTAGTTTGTATTACTTATATTAAAACAAACACATTTCCTAAGCCCCAGTTAACATGAGGAACAACTGCAAAATTTTTTTGCAGTACCAGGGATCCAACTTGGGACCTTGCGCTTGCAAGGCAGACGTGGTACCACTGAGCTAAATCCCTGGCCCACTCATGTTTTTTGTTTTGGGTTTGCCAGGGGTGGGGAGGATTTGTTTTTGAGACAAAGTCTTGCTATATATTTTAGGCTATTCTTGAACTCACTATGTAGCCCATACTGGCCTTGAACTTGCAGTGATCCTCTTGCCTCAGCCTTCTGAGTGCTCAATTACAGGCATGTACTACCATGCCCAGTAATTACTTAAATTTTGTATGTTCTTATACAAGGAAATGAATTACTAAAAATACCAGGGATACTGATGTTATGAAGAGCACCTTTTAATCTTTTGGCATACCAAAAAAAATCACCCACACACAAAATAATACAGTAAAATCTTCATTTAAATGCAAATATTACCCTAGAAGTTACATTTGCTGTGGTACAGAAATCTCATGATAGCAGAACTGCTTTTCCTTCAGCCCACACTGCATCTAGATGACTTAGGATAAATGAGTATAGAGCCCGATTCTAATACTTTCCAGGGAATAAGTTAGTAGTCATCTTTAATAATTCTTTCCAATTTTTAAAAGCCCAAATTTTCAGGAAGCTTATTTTCTATTTCTTAAGTTTCATGTACTGTACTTATAGCATTCTTTCCCTTCTTTTGTTGAGTGAAAGGCACAGACAGTAAGGTGGAGGATAATCTCTTGAGGTGACTGTGTTCTCCTTCAGCTGAGGGAGAACTTCTAAAATTACCAGTTCAGAACTCTAGTGTTTCACCACCTCAGGTCAGGAGGGTGTTTTTACTCTGGGAACCACTGCTCACCAGTTCATTTTAAAAAACAAGTTATAGTATTTTCCCTTAGTTTTCACAGTATTGAAACATTTCCATTACATGGTCAACAAATTTTTTTTTCTTTTTAAATGTTTCTGTGTAGCTATGAAGAAGCCAAGAATATATTGGCCAAGACCAAATTATTGGCCCCAGCATACTTTATTCTTGGAGGTAACCAGTCTGGGGAAGGGTGTGTGATTACACGAGAAAGAAAAGACTCTTTGGATGTATATGAGTAAGTACATTTTTAAAGCCGAGTAGAAACTAAGCCCAGACTGACATAGTATAGTATAGGTGTAAGACATGAAGCCTAAGAAAGAATCTTTCTTTTTGTACCTAGACTTGATCCTAAGCAAGGTAGATGGTATGTGGTACAAACAAACTATGACCGATGGAAAAAACCCTTATTCCTCGATGACCGTAGAACACCTGCACAGATGTGTCTAAAACGCACAACCCAAAAGGTATATTTGCATTGTCTTATATGGAAAGAATCAATAATCCCATTGAGGAGTATCTCAGTTCTGGCATTTTTCTTTGGCCTTCAAAAAATTTATAAACCTCATATTTTTCAGTATCAACAGACAGTCCTCACTGAGTTTTTGTTTTGACCTACAGAGCAAAATTTTGCTGTATTTTTGTTTTCTTACTCTTAATGCTGGATACTACTCTGAAATTAAACTCTGTGAATTAACAAACATGTAAGAGTTTAAAAGGGGAGAAAGAAAGAAAAATAATACTATATTAAAACTGTTACTTGTATTTGTAGCAGTGACTCCAAGGGAAATTCCTTTAGCACGTTGAAGAATTTTCAGTTTCTAATGAGCCATTTGTGTGGATAAATGTTACTGATGTTTGTATTTAACTTACTGAGCAGAACTCTTTTTGTGTTTTAGAATGTCTCATTTGCAACGTTATATGACATTCTGTCAACAAAACCTGTCCTCAACAAGGTATTTTAAAAATACATAAGATAGATATGCTTTTAGGGAAAGAATTTGGTCCTGTGTTTTATCTTTCCTTGTTGCTTGGATCAGTTTAAGTATAAAAGTTAGGTGCAGTTTAAGGCTAAACTCAGACTCTCCTGCACAAAGCCAGACAGATGTTTGTGTCTTGGTGGATTGGAGTTTCTCCTGAGCTTTATTACATGTAAAAAAAATCTTTTCCCCATACTGTAATTGAGAAATGCAACATCTCCAATCACCCTGTTTGCTAGTAGGCATTCCTTGTGTGTTCTGGATATGTCCCTGTACTATCCCATTTGTTCTCTCTTTTTTCTTGGTCACTGTGCCTCTGTCTCCCTAAATTGGACATACCTCCACTGCCTCTGCCAAAATAAAGAAATAAAAATAAATAAAATGCCTCTGTCCTTAAGTATTTAAATCAAACCTGGATCCTTCATGAAGATGCTTTTCTTCAGCCCACTGACCCTGCTCTACTGTTCATTTAGCCCACACTAGCTTCCTGTGAGCTCACAGTGGGTTGATTTACATGCTCTGTGACACCTCCCCCGGTGTGTATGTGTGCTTTGTCATTTCTGTGTGTGCAGTTCCTTCTCTGTATTTGAAATGTTTTGACAATAAGTATGACAAAGATAGACTGTTCACTCTCCCTAGAGCAATGATGGTGAAAACTGGAAACTCAAGCCCACTTATTTGTTGCAGAGTGCCAATACTGTAATTAAACCTGAATACTAAGGTTTTAGTTTAGAAAAAGAAGTCATACAACTCCTGATGTCACTGAAAGGGCTCTGCATACCCTGCTTGTGGCACCCTGTCTAGCGTATCGATAGGCTTTTTATGACTGCTTTGTGTACACTGAGGGTTAAACATTGGTGGTGAAACAGTGTAGTGTGCAGTGATAAGTTCTTATGAACAACTAGAGATTTGTCCAAGCCTATTAATGCTCACAACCTGGAATAATGGTTGTATTGATGTTGTTTGCTTTAATGATGTACTATATTATATAATTACTATATTAAACACTATCATTTACTATATTATATACTTTTATAATATTGTATTATATAATTTTAATGTTAGTTGTTTAATATTAAATAATTTCATAAAGTAGATTTTTCAGGGACAGATACGCCAATATGTGTCTGAATATTTTCGAATGTAAAACATCCTTAAAAGTAACTTTTCTTTTAGCTGACTGTATTTACCACCTTGATGGACGTTTCAAAAAATCACTTTGAAACTTACCTTCGGGATTGCCCAGACCCTTGCATGGGCTGGTGAGCTCACATCTGCCTACAGAACGTGCCAAGACGTGAAGACATGCTACCCAACGTGGCTGACCAGTGCAGCTGTCTGGATTCCCTACAAAGGCTGAAGACTCTGGGCTGGTTCTCTGAGTCATAGGCTTGCCTTTCTCAGTATTATTTATAATTAGCAGACTGTTCCTGCCATCACAATCTGATTCTTCCTATTTACAGGTTTCTTCTGTAAGTGAAGTAAAACAGTCTTCTAGAATATGCTGAGATTCATTTCACTTCAACATTTGGGGATAGGGATGAGCAATTAAATCACCTCCATGGAATTTCAAGTCGCAATTTTCTATAGGCACTTAAACTAGTAACCCTGTGTAACTAATGTAAACATAATCCACGTCATTCAGTTTTTTACTTTCATCAACATAATTATTTTAATATGTAGCAAAATTTTCCTAACAACTAAGATCAGTATATCATTGCATTTGCTATTAGTGACAGCAGTGTAATTTCACTCTATTTGACTGGGAGGTTGAGACAGACATTCAGTATTCCCTTTAATGGGCAGTAAATGGACCTTTGACTCTGTAAATAATAGTTTTGGGGGTTCATGAACTAGTCAATATCCAAAGCAGTTTTTTACAAAAAGAATCAAAGCACTGCCTTTTTCATAATGATTCTACCTCCCAGTAATCCAGGAAGTTGCAAAATTAAAAATTTTGGAGTCTAATCTGGGCATGGTGGCACAGGCCTGGAATGCCAGCTGAGAGGGGCTGAGAGGCAAGAGGATCAAAAGTTTGAACCTAGCTTGGACACCTTAAATACTCAGCAAGACCCCCCTGCCTTAAAAAGGCCCTGGGTTCAATCCCCAGTATCAAAACAAAACAACCAAAACTGAGTCCAACATTCTGTGAACTGGTGAATAAACTTCCAAGACTTGGAAATAGGAAAAAAGTGGTTAACTAATTAAATTTTCACAAGTATCACTGATTTATTAATACATAGGTTTTTAGTTTGTCCTTCTGATCAACATGTATTTAAAAAAAATTTAGTACAGTAATTAAAAATATTTCAGAAATCTTTATAAAAAATGCTAACAGAACTTGTTGATCTTTCACAGTTAACTGGAACATATGCTATTTGTGCAAAATTGTGTCCACTTCATTTTGTATAATCTTAGTTGTATCATGATGCTCAATAAACATTCATTCAACACTCATGCATGCTGACTAAGTGTGTATGAACCTGTCGATCTGAGGGTAAGGGGTTATTATCAAGAAATACAAGCCGAACATAATATCTGAAGGAAATAACAAGTGTTAAGTAATGGGTTATTAAGTGCATGACTGCATGTTCACAAGTTCACATGACTAATACCACCTCTTAATCCAGTAGTGTCAACCCAGGTTGCAGGTGTCCAAAGGCAGCTTTTCCCCTCGAGACACCAGGTGCTTCCACACTGTAATAGCAACTCCAGGATTATTTTAGAGAAGCAAGAAGAATTACAAAAGGATTGTGTTAAAATAAGATTAATGAGAAAAAAGGACTGAATCAAAGAGTTTGGACGAAATTACATATTAAAATTTTAGGCAGTATTTGTTGGTAACGCAGTTTGTAAAATAGTATGTCCAGTATAAGCCTATTTATGTAACACTTTTAAGGTACTTATGTGTAACTGAACAGACCTCTAGCATATAAAAGGATAATTGGAAGAAGTCTCTTAACCGAAACATTGACCCTAGTTTCCCCAGAATAGTAATCATTTTATTTTCAGAGGACAAACTTTAGTAGCCATGGGCATTAGTGACACTGTATTTTTAGAAATACTGGGCAGAATTAAGGTTCAGGTTGGATCCAAACCATGGACTATAACTTAACCTGCCTCCTTTTAGGAGTAGGATTTTAAATGTAGGAGTGAATCATACTTATATTCCTTCACATATGTAGTTCCAGATAATTTATCTTAATAGCCACTACTTACCCAGAACTCATTATTTACCAGGCTTTGTGATAAATAGGTACAACATTACATGCATTAGCTTACTTTTCTCAGGAAACTCCAATTTTACTTGAAATCCCATTTGCCAGTGCGTAAAAGTATGGTTAAATGATTTGCTTGAAATCGCATTAACAGCAGTGATAAGAGCTGGTACTTGTCAGGTCTAACTCTGGTGCTTTTATCATGACACTCTGCTTCATGACATTATACATAGGACAAGTAGTTCTGCCTTGGGGGACCCCTCCACTCAAGCAGATGTATCCCAAGACATCATGCTGAGCACATCATAACTTTGGTACCTCCACCTGCTGATTCTCTATAAATTATGTTTCCATAGGGATTGGAAACTTTCTGGGATCAGGAACTGATGACACTGTTACTTGTTTTTTCTTTTTTTTAAAAAAAAACTACCCCAAGTCTAAATTGTGCTTAGCTTGTGGGAGAGTCAAAAGACTTGGCTTTTGTCTATCACTTGGCACTGCATTAAAAATATGAACGTGTCTAAGATTTTAAAAAATTGTTAAATGGAAAGGCTCAGGCAGTTATCACTTAATTTTGGAATATGAGGGATAGTTTTTAAGCATTATATATGATGGAAGTGGCCAGCAGACCTCAGGCATCAACACAGGAAGGCTGGTGGCTGCTATTTGTGGAGTTACCAGCTTGTCTAAAATCCACTCTTTCCGCAGGGCACTCCCTTCCTCTTACATTGAGAAACCAGGGTTTCCAAGCCAGGTGCCACTGGGAGACTGGTGTGTGTGGAGCAATTTCTCATATTTCTACATGTCTTGTGAATGCTTTTATCCCATGCTATCTTAAGATGCTTAGCCAGTCAGGTGTTTTCCTGATTAAAGTTCACTGTCTCCTTGAAAATACAAATGTTGGGCAGGCTTGATTAGGAGAGCAGTACTTCTTTACATCTGGACGTTTCCTTAGCTGTGATACCGATCATACTGTGTGGCATCCACTTAGCCCATGTAATATAACTTTGCTGGGGAACTGCCAGTGGAACAAAAGTGAACTGGAAACTCATGTTGCTTGGGGTGCCCACTGTAACAAATCCTTGCCTCTGACTCAGGAGTCTACCAGCATCCATGAAGGCCAGCTAGTTAGCTTGCAGACAGGGTAAGATCTCAGACACTTCACAGTTGACAGCATACTGCACCTTGGCCACAGATGTGCCTTGAACTACTGATCTCTCAGCTCTTGGGACAGCTAGACTGGCTGCCTCCCATAGCACCAGCCTCCTTGAGCAGAGTGGGGAAGACTGCATCTCCCCAGGGTTTTAGCAGGCTGGGGTCCACGGCGCCATGTGAAATATGAAGCAAGTTGGTATAGATCATTTGCCCTGCAGACCAGAAGGGGCCTGGGCAACAGTTTGGGATATATGAACTCCACATAAAGATACCTAGCCTTTCAGCTCTCCTGCCCATATTTGTAATACCAGGACCAAAATCTGTCTTGGTGACACTGGTCTTCACTGGTAGCAATAACAGCCTGCAGCTGCTGCTCCCCTGGAAAGGTGGAGCAAGGCAAAGCAGGTGTCCTAGCACCTGGCTTTCTGCAGACCTCATCACTGTCAGTGAACAAGAGGCTGTGGTGTAGCAGCAGGAATTTATGTTCCAGGTACCATGGAGCCCTGCACACAAGTACCACAGCAGGCTGGGTGGAAGGTGCAGATGCAGTGTGGGCTCCTGGCAGATTCACTTCCAGGAAGTAGTCAGAACTTTTACAGCTGACAGGCCAATTTGTCGGCATCTGAACGGGTGGCCTTGACTCTAACAATGAATGTGCTTTCTGCAAAGTAGGGTATTAATATTTTGAAATATTTAGAAAAATTTATTGGATCTTTAGTATAGTAATACAAAAAAAAGGCTAATGGTCTTCAAAACATATGGTTCTATAAATGCTTAGATGTTTGTAAAATACTGCTTTAAACCACTCAGGCTGGCGGTGCAGCAGTGGAAGAGCATTCACAAGGCCCTGAGTTCAATTTCCAGTACCACAAAATGAATAGATATTTTTATGCACACACAATTGATCTTCACATTTGGGGGGGGGTACCGGGGATTGAACTCGAGTCCTTGCGCTTGCAAGGCAGGCCACCGATCCGCTGAGCTAAATCCCCAACCCTATCTTCAATTTTTTAATATTGAAGTGTTCATCGTAAAATCCTGCTCAGACATTGTATGTAGGAATTTCATATATAAAATATGCTATTACGTTGTCTACCTTTTAAAGATATTTGCTATGTACTCTTTCCTCATAGTTCACCTATAATTTATACATTTTAGAATTATTTAATGTGAAGAAAATGGAGTTTTTCGCCAAGCCCTGATGTCCCCTCCAGTTTACCCAGCATGTCTTACAAACACACTCCTTTTCTATGCCATGACATGCAAACAAAACATCAGAGCTTCTGATTCCTTCACCAGCTAAGGGACTGGGACAAGTCGCTTAACTTCCTTTGGAGTTCAAACCTGCCTTTGTAAACTGAGGGTTTAACACCAGTTTTCTCCAAGGGTTCTTTCAGCTATAAGAATCTAGATTTAAATTGTATCTCAAGTGCTTGCTGCTGTTCAGTGTGAAGACCTGGGTTCACCCCCCAGTGCCACATCATTAAAAAAGTTATGTGACCCACGTACTACAAAGATAAAGGGCTTTGTTCCCTTTCATTTGTATGCAGAAAGAACATACTGTTTGCATCAGGTTTACCTCTGAGCTACTCCCAGCTGTTTTATCTTATCAGCTTACAAGCACTTTACCCACCACTACTCTGAGTTAAAGGTTACAACCCCACCCTGCCCCAATACTGGGGCTGAAACCCAGAGGAGTGTTCTACCACCTTCAAAAGCCCTTTACAGTTTTTTTTTTTTTTTTTTTTTTAAATTTGGTCTTGCTAATGCTGGCCTCATACTTGTGATCCTCTACTTCAGCCTCTACTAGCTAGAATTGTAGGTGTGTGGTACCATAACATGGTGGCTATAGGTTATCTTCAATTAAAACAACACACAATATACTAATTTGTCCCATTTAATAAAAAAATATTAAAAAATTCACCCTCCCAAATTCCACTGTCCAGAGGTAATCCCTTACATGTAATGTGTCCTGTTCTGTGCACATTCTTTTTTCCTCATTGAATTTATCAGTACATTTTAGGTATACTGTACAGTTACATTCATTGTTGGGATCTTGTGCCTTTACATGACAGGTCTTGGTTCTCATTTTTCCCCTTAGCCCTGCCCTCCCTATGCACATTCTTGATTTTCATTGAATTGTAGGAAAAAAACTAGAAATACCATGTCACTATAGCTTTTCACCACACACACACACTTTTTTTTTCTTTGAGAGAGGTCTTGCTATGTTGCCTAGGCTGGCCTCTACCTGCTGGCCTCAAGTGACCCTCCTGCTTCAGCCTCCCAATTAAATGACTACAGGTATGCACCACTGTGCCCAGCTTCATTACTCTTTTAAATGCTTTAAAGGCTCCTAAAATATACTGATGGACATTTACTTTGTTTTCAGAATTTTGGAACTGTAAGTAATGCTGCAGGGAAAATCTTTTTTGTATATGCCTGTGAAAGTTTATAAAATAGGCAGCAGACTCCCAGGGTTACAGGATCACAGGGCAACAACGCTTATCTAGTAGAGCCCATGACAAGTACTAACACACAGATGCCTAGATCAGTGCGAATGCATGGGAAAGGAACTCTACAATTCTGTTTTACACCTGGGAACAATTCTAAGCCATTAATTCCCAGCAGAATGGGATTGGTAGTCTGTAACCCAAATCTTCCATGTTAAATTCAGCAAGAGAGAAAACCTGCCCCCTGCCAGGCACTATACCAGGCTGGTTAAGAAACAGCCTTTTGTCCAAGTATCTTTGAGCCCAGGATTGTAATTTGGAGAGTAAAATTAGCCAGTGTGGTTAGCTAGGACAGGAAACTGTACAGAGTGAACCCAGAGGGCTAGGGATTTAGCTCAGCGGTTCTGCCACCTGCCTTGCACGTCCAAGGACCCAAGCTCAATGCCAGTACCAAAAAACCAAAAAAAAAAAAAAAACTCCAGAGTGAACCCAGAAACTAGTAACTGCAATCAGGGAGGGTCAGAGAAGAATGAAGTTTTAAAGAATGATTAAGAGTTTTACAGCTGGGTATGG